CCAACACCTCCACCACCACATCACCTTCCACCACCACACAAACACACCTCCACCATCACACCACCAACACACCATCCACCACCATCACCTCCACCACCATCACCACCATCCATCCACCACCAACACCACCATCATCACCACCACCACAACACCACCACCACCACCATCACCTCCACCACCACCATCACCTCCACCACACCATCACCACCACACACACCTCCCCACCCACCACCACACCACCAACACCACCTCCACACCATCATCACCACCAACACCACCACCACCATCACCTCCCACCACCATCATCACCACCACCAACACACCACCACCCACCACCACCACCACCACCACCACCACACACCACCACACCATCCACCACCACCACCACCAACACCTCCACCACCACCACCACCCCACCAACCAACCACCTCCACACCAACACCACCTATCACCACCACCAACACCTCCACCACCACCAACACCACCATCACCTCCACCACCACCAACACCACCCATCATCATCTCCACCACCACCAACACCACCAAACACCTCCACCCCCCATCATCACCACCAACATACATCTCCACCACCACCAACACCACCAACACCACCAACACCACCACAACCCACCAACCACCAAACACCTCCACCACCTCACCACCACCAACCCACAACACCACCAACACCTCCACCACCTCACCACCACCAACCCACAACCTCCACCACTCTTACACCACCAACCACCAACACCACCAACACCACCACCACCTCTACCACACCAACCACCAACACCTCCACACATCACCAACCACACCACCAACACTCCACCACCACACCACACCCCTTTCACAAAGGGCATGCATATCACTGCAGAAAGGTGATCACTGGACAGATAAACAAAGGAGACACCAAAGCTAACATCATGATGATAATAATGATGATTATGATCATGATAATAACTATAATAACAATGATAATGATGATGATAATTATGATGATGATAACAGTAACAGTATTGATGTGATAATATTGATAATGATTGTATGAAATTATAACAATGATTATGATAATGATGATGATGATTGTTATTAAATGATAATATTATTATTAATGACACACAACACACACCAAACACACATACAAACACACACACACATACACACACACACACACACACACACACACAACACACAAACACACACCCACACACACACACACACACACACACACACACACACACAAAACAAACACAACCACACACACACATAAACACACACACATACAGACTCACACACAGACAAACACACACACACACACAAATATACACACACACGCGTGCCGTCTGGAACCCATCCGTGTAGGTGTCTACGTCACGCACACCGGAAGTTATCAAACTGACGTAAGAATGTTTGAGAGAGAGAGAGAGAGAGAATGCATGTACGTATGCATTTCTCTATGTAAACATCATAAATACTGTCCATAAACCTATACCATTGCTTGGACAAAACAGTGATTGACTTATGCACACTAATTAGCGGAACAGAATTCACTAATCACATAAAAATTAAAACCCTGACTGGCTTCTCCTGTACAAATCATTTTTATACTCCGTTCTCATATCAGTTACATCTATTATTTCTTCAGGGAGTTTAAAGATTGTGCAAAATCACGTCCACTGGATATCAAGAACTGTAACAGGAAATTTGCGAAATCGGAAATGGTTTTGTTGGCGTCATGTTTGTAAGTGGGTCGGGGCGTCGAGGGTAAGATGTACAATTTATTATCATTTTTTCTTTCTTTCTTTCTTTTTGTGGGAAAATAGGGAGCAAGATCTGTCAGCAAGTACGGAATTAGAGAGAGTGAAAAAGAAGAAAGAAACGGAAATACAGAGAGCGAGAAATAGCAAGAGAGAGCGAGAGATTGATTTTGCTTTGATTAGAAAAAAACAACAACATTGACATGCATTGCAAAAAGCCATGCAAAGCTGACCAAGCATCTACCCAATCTGGCTAAACTTGTATTGACTTAAGGACCGCAGTGATCAGTTGCCAGTTAACGATATAAAAGTCCTAATACAGGTTGTAATGGGAAACCGATGTTGCCCAAAGACCTTGTAAACCTTTTCCTAGATTGTTAGTTGCTGAGCAGACGGTTGCTACATCGTGGGCATCTAGAAGAGAGAGAGAGGAGGAGAGAAATAAAAAGAGAACAGAAATAGGGTGTACGATTCTTTGGTGCGAGTGCTTAGATCTGCCTGCATTACTGACATTCGCTTTATGCTACGTATTATCAGCGGATCTCGAGAATTCAGGGTGATTCTTTTAAGTGCTTGAGTTCCCTATGCATTGTCGATCACGTGTCCCGCCGTTTTATGTCTATTTCCATGTGCTCTGCATGTGTATAATCGACACTCCTGTCTACCCAGTGAGCTATTACGTCGCCTCCCGGGGTTTTGTACGTAGGTGCGAGCTGCGCGTGCGTGACAGATATCTGCTCTCGTTTCATGAGGAGATTGAAGTGTCGTCCTGCGTTTTGAGTCCACGATGGCACTTCATACGGTATTTTTGATTTTTCCCTCATGTCGGTTTGCTGGTGCAGCCAATCATGCTCTGACTATCTCTGGACTCTATTTATCTTCTTTATTGGTCGCTCCAGATCCGGCTGCCCTGCTAACCTTTTATGATTCTTGGTACGCTGGCTTTGGTTCACTTATGCTTACGGCTGCGGTGCCCCTTCGACTGTGCGATTTGTGTGTTTGCCTCTGCGGTCTCCGAGGTGGCTACTCTTCTCTCTCAGTATTCCAGTGCTCTCTCTTCGCTTCTTTCCACTCTGAGATGTCGGTCCCGGCGGCCCGCTTAAACTAGTTATCATTGTCCGTGAATTATTATCATTTAGCTCGCCGCTAATATGTCGTTTCTGGTTTACCGCACTGGGAGTTTCGCAGCACGCAGATCGCGTAATATTCTCAGGATGTCGACGTTAGTTTGCATGTCACCGCACGAAATCCTGTGAGCACGGTGTATTGAGAGAAAAATCTCCTCTACATATATTATGAGTGACCATCTCGTGCTGGAGTAGCTAAAGTATTCGTGCGTTAGTGTGTAGAAGAGAATTATTAAGAGTGATAGGTAGTTGGTATACCCTGTGCCTAGCAGTGATTGTGAATAGAGAGATCACTTATAACCTGGGTAATATATAACCTCGAATTTGTGTGAGTCGTATTAAGTTTCATCGCTCGCATCACCTGCGTAAGTGTACGTTTGTGGATTTAATTGGAAGTATGAATGTAGTTAAGAGAATGTAGCATACACTTTGAGGAGTGAGATTAGAGAGAGAGAGAGAAAATAAGAGAGAAGGAGAGAGAAATAAAGAGAGTGATATGTAAGAGAGAAGGAGAGAGAGAATCAGAAATAAAGAGTGAGTTAGAGAGAGAGAGAGAGAAATAAAGAGAGTGAGATGTAGAGAGAGAGAGAGAGAGAGAAAATAAAGAGAGTGAGAGAGAGAGAGAGAGAAATAAAGAGAGTGAGATGGAGAGAGAGAGAGAGAGAGAGAGAAATAAAGAGAGTGAGATGTAGAGAGAGAGAGAGAGAGAAATAAAGAGAGTGAGATGTAGAGAGAGAGAGAGAGAGAGAGAGAAATAAAGAGTGAGATGTAGAGAGAGAGAGAGAGAGAAATAAAGAGAGTGAGATGTAGAGAGAGAGAGAGAGAAATAAAGAGAGTGAGACGTAGAGAGAGAGAGAGAGAGAGAGAAATAAAGAGAGTGAGATGTAGAGAGAGAGAGAGAGAGAAATAAAGAAAGTGAGACGTAGAGAGAGAGAGAATTAAAGAGAGAAAGGGAGCGAGAGCAATCAAGAAAAACACAACAGGCAGGAGAAAGAGAGCAAGGGACGGGACTCGCCCCTCCCAGACAGCGAGGCGGCCTGGGCATCCCGCCCCATGCGTCACATACTGATAAGGAACCCACACCCTTCCTGACGCTGAACAAAGAGAGAGATAAGAGAGAAGAAAGAAGAGAGAGAGATAGATAAGAAAGAAGATAAATAAGAGAGAAGATAGAAGAGAGAGAGAAAAAAAAGACTCGTAGACATGAAATAACGCTGAACATAGAGAGAGACAAGAGAGAAGAAAGAAGAGAGAGAGAGAGATAAGAAAGAAGAGAGAGAGAGAGATAAGAAAGAAGATAAATAAGAGAGAAGATAGAAGAGAGAGAGAAATAAAAAGACTCGTAGACTTGAAATAACGCTGAACATAGAGAGAGACAAGAGAGAAGAAGAAAGGGGGAGAGATAAGAGAGAAGAAAGAAGAGAGAGAGAGAGATAAGAAAGAAGATAAATAATAGAGATGAAAGCGAAGATAGAAGAAAGAGGAAGAAGAGAGAGAAAATAAAGACTCGTAGACATGAAATAACGCTGAACATAGAGAGAGACAAGAGAGAAGAAAGAAGAGAGAGAGAGAGAGATAAGAAAGAAGATAAATAAGAGAGATGAAAGCGAAGATAGAAGAAAGAGGAAGAATAGAGTGAGAAAATAAAGACTCGTAGACATGAAATAACGCTGAACATAGAGAGAGACAAGAGAGAAGAAAGAAGAGAGAGAGATAAGAGAGAAGAAAGAAGAGAGAGAGAGAGAGATAAGAAAGAAGATAAATAAGAGAGATGAAAGCGAAGATAGAAGAGATAAGAGGAAGAAGAGAGAGAGAGAAAAAAGACTCGTAGACATGAAATAACGCTGAACATAGAGAGAGACAAGAGAGAAGAAAGAAGAGAGAGAGATAAGAGAGAAGAAAGAAGAGAGAGAGAGAGAGAGATAAGAAAGAAGATAGATAAGAGAGATGAAAGAGAAGATAGAAGAAAGAGGAAGAATAGAGAGAGAGAAAATAAAGACTCGTAGACATGAAATAACCAGTGCTCACCGATAACCAGTGCTCACCGTGTTGTTCTGCAGGAGACCGGGTGTCTTTATAAGCTGGTGACTTCGGGGTGCTGATCGGCATAAGAATGAGGGGGAACATTCTGTCAACTATTTCCTACTTCGTACACATCTGAGGCGAAAGCAGAGAGTAACTTTCCTCTTTTACACTTTACGGATTCCACTTAAGTTGGGGGTCTTGTGGATCACTGTTTATCGTTCGTCTTTTCCGTCTTAAGTACTTCTTATACAGTGTCAATCAAAGTACCTTTCCATTGGCTCCTTTGCTACTTCTCATTAAGAATGATCATACGAAGTGAGAGGTATGGCTGACGTAAAGTGCTTTTGATATTCATTTTGTTATTAGTTTTATTATTATTTTATCATCATCATTATTATTATTATCAATTTCATTATCATTATTATCAATCATCATTATTATCAATTCAATTATCATTTTCATTATTGTCATAGTTATTATTATTAGTATTATCATCATCATCATCATTATCATCACCATCATTGTTATCATCATCGCTATTGTTATTGTTGTTATTATTATGATTACTATTTTTATTATAGTCATTATTATTATTTTTATTGTAATTGTTTCTGTTGCTGTTGTATTGTTATTGTTATCATTGTTGTTATTATTATTATTACTATTATTATTATCATCATCATCATTGCCATTGGCAGGTGTGACATCAGCCCGTGAGGCCTCCCGACTGACCAGCTGCTTCGGCGTCGCGTGGTGGTCCTCCAGACGCAGCGATGCCTCTCGCTCTGTGGTGGTTGTGCGCAGCGTGCGCGTGCGTCGTGACAGCAACCACAACGCCTCCCCCTCAAGCCCCTTCACCTCCCCCTCAGCCCCCTGCGCCGAACCCCCAACCCCCTGCGCCTCCCCCTCAGCCCCCTGCGTCGAACCCCGCCAACCTGACCCTCCGCAAGTGCCTCTGCGGCGGCGGGCAGGCGTGGGACGGCGCACAGTGCGTGGGCACAGAGGAGACCCCCGTGGCCGTGCTGGACCACCTGAGCGGCAGGATGCTCGTCTTCGACAGCAGCAGCTTCGGCCAGGTGACCACGGGGCCGATCACGTGCCCTGACCTGCGGGAGCCGGCGGTGCTGAGGGCCGAGGACCGCGTCGTCATGACCACGACCGGCAGGGCATTCTGGCTGGACCAAAGGGAGCTGTTCGTGGAGTTCTGCGTCGAGCACACGCCCAAGCTGGAGTTCAGGGTGTGCCTTCATGCGCCGCCCATTCCTCGCTGCTGCCGGCCGGGTTACGTGCTCGAGAAGGACGGCTCCTGCTCGCCGCGCGACGCCGTCGAGTTCAAGCCCCCCGTGTACCTGCGGGCCACGGGCGAGCCGCTGCACTTCCCCGACACGAACGCCGTCGACGCCGTCGAGGAGGTGACCTGCGAGGGCCTCGCCGTGCCGCACCGCGTTGACCTCTCTGGCGGCAGCGACATCCTTCTCTACAACCTCAACAAGGCGGCGCTGGCGTGGCTCCCGCCCTCGGAGTACGCCCGCGCGTCGGAGGTCACCACGTCGTACTGCGTCGGCCTGGAGGCAGGGAGGTCCATCAGCGAGGAGAAGTACGTGGCCGTGGTGTGCTACACGGACCTGGCGAAGGTCCACCGCCTCATCTGTGCCAACGGGACCTGCGTCAGGAAATGCTGCTCCGCCGACGAGATCTTCACTCCGCACGCCTGCCTCAAGGCGGCGTCAGCGAAGGAAATATGGCAGCCGAGTCTGCACTTCAACGAGAGCCTAACTCCAGAGGAGGAGATCAGCGACGACCTGATCGTGGTGAGCGGCCTGCCGCTGTGCAAGCACATCTTCGACCTCAAGCCAGACAAGAACGAAAACGACAAGCACTTCCTGCTGGGGAACGGCAGCCTCCACGTGCCCGCGCAGGGAATGTACCACGCCGACAAATACTGTCTCGACCTGCAGCTGACCAGCCACGGCGAGGAGCTGATCACCATCCTGTGCGCGCCGACCCAGGAGAACGAGTGCGAGTGGAAGAACGTCCTCATCCTGGTGCTTCTGTGCATCTCGTGCGTGTTCCTCTTCGCCACCTTGGTCGTGTACGTCAGCGTCGCGGAGCTGCGGGACAGAACCAACGGCCGCTGCCTCATCTCCATGGTGGCCGCCATGCTCGCCACCTACGTCAGCATCGCCGTCAACCGAGAGTCACGCGACGCCTCCGACGGCGAGTGCCTCACCATGGGTAAGTCGGGCAGCGAAGCCACTCGCTTGCCCTCTCCTCGCCCGCCTCCCCTCCGACTCCTTCCCCTCCCCGCCTCCCCTCCTCGACCCCCCCCCCCCCCCCACCCCCCCCCCAACCCCCACAACCTAGCCTGTAGCTTCACACTAGTCAGCTTGTAGCTATTCCTGTAGCTTCTTACTGTAGCTTCTTACTGTAGCTTCAGTATAGAGTTACTGTAGCTTCAGTATAGAGTGTAGCTTCAGTACTGTAGGTATAGAGTTACTGTAGCTTCAGTATAGAGTTACTGTAGCTTCAGTACTTATACCTGTAGCTTCTTATAGCTTCAGTAAGAGTTACTGTAGCTTCAGTATAGAGTTACTGTAGCTTCTTAAGTATAGAGTTACTGTAGCTTCAGTTACTGTAGCTTCAGTATAGAGTTACTGTAGCTTCAGTATAGAGTGTAGCTTCAGTATAGAGTTACTTCAGTATAGAGTTAAGCAGGTAGCTTCAGTATAGAGTGTAGCTTCAGTATGTAGAGAGAGTTACTGTAGCTTCAGTATAGAGTTACTGTAGCTTCAGTATAGAGTTACTTAGCTTCAGTATAGGTTACTGTGGCTTCAGTATAGCTCTATTGTGGCTTCATTATATCTAGTTGCTTCATTATAGCTTATGGTTAGAGTTATTGTAGATTTTAGTTTTTGCTTTTTCTGTGTCCCTTGTTTAGTGTACGATCAGAAAAAGGGATATTATGAAATTATTATGAATTATTTAATTAATCGACATGTTACTGTAGTTTAGTTATTTTTCATTAATCTATTTATTTCTTATTTTCGTTTATTTATTCAATATTGTTTTTGATTCGTATATTTATTTCTTATTGTGTGTGTGTGAGCGTGTGCGTACGTGCGTAGGAATGCATGTACACTTATTTATAATCTTTATCTATCTGTTTATTTCGTGATTTCGTGCTTATTTTCTGTCCATTTAATTCCTTTGATTATACAGCTGCAGTAGAATACTTATAAATATATATTTTTTTTTATTACGATGTATATAAAGATGAAATGGAAAAAAAAAATCTTTTCTTGTTCATTTCAGGTTTTATCGGACATGTCTGTTCCCTCGCCACTTTCTTTTGGCTGAATGTCATGTGTTTTGACATGTGGTCAACGCTGAGGTGAGTGTCAATTTTTTTTTTTTTTTTTTTTTTTTAGGTCTACTTTCTTTTGCGAGGGAGAAGGAAGGGGGGGTCTCAAAATCATTTACATTTGAGGTTTACTATTTTTTTTAAAAGGGGGTGAGGGTTGAAAATGGCAAGGGGTGAATGCATTAAAATGTTCTGTATCTAAGGTTAGTTATTTCAATATCAGTAACATGAGTCAAAATACCTTGGTTATGTTCTCTTCATCTGTTCTTATCCTCTGTTTTGTGTATCTGTTCCTTTCACCTTTTCTCTCTATATGTTTTTTATCATTGTTCTCATCCATCTGTTCTCGTTATAGTCTCGTAAGTCAAAATACCCATGTTCCCTCCTCCTGTTCTTTCTACCTGTTCTTAAAACGTGTTCTCTTCATCTGTTCTCTCCTTTTCTCCCCATCTGTTCTCTTCATCTCCACACTACTCGTGTTCTCTCCCCATCTGTTCTCACCACGTGTTCTCTTCACCTCCAAACTACCCGTGTTCTCTCCCCATCTGTTCTCACCGCGTGTTCTCTCCTCCTGTCCTCCCCACGTGTTCTCTTCACCTCCAAACTACCCACATTCACCCCCTACCTATTCTCACCACGTGTTCTCTCCCTCGTCCCTCCCTACCTTTTTCTTCTCACCTGCAAACTACTCGTGTTCTCTCCCCATCTGTTCTCACCACGTGTTCTCTTCACCTCCAAACTACCCACATTCACCCCTACCTGTTCTCACCACGTGTTCTCTCCTCCTATCCTCCCCACCTGTTCTCTTCACCTCCAAACTACCCGTGTTCTCTCCCCATCTGTTCTCACTACGTGTTCTCTCCCTCGTTCCTCAGGTCATCGAAGCAGAAATACCAAAGTCTGAAGGTATTCGTCTTCTACAGCATCTATGCCTGGGGCTCTCCTCTCCTCATTGGCTTCGTGGGCCTCATCTTAGACCTCGTGGAACCCCCTAATGTTATAAGGCCAAATTTTGTGACCATGTCTTCCTGTTGGTTCCATGGTGGGTGGTTTGTAAGGTTGTTTTGTGTGTGTGTGTGGATGGGGAGGGTGTGTAGGTGTGGGTGGTGAGTTTTTGCGGTTGTTTCGTTGTTTGTGTGTGTGTGTGTGTGTGTGTGTGTGTGTGTGTTGTGTATGTGTGTGTGTGTTGTGTGTGTGTGTGTGTGTGTGGTGTGTGTGTGTGTGTGTGTGTGTGTGTGTGTGTGTGTGTGTTGAAAATGCTATCACGGGTTAGTGTGGACATATTATCATTCCTATTAAGATTATTATAACTATCATTATCATTCCTATTATTATTATTATCATTATCATTCCTATTATTATTAATTACATCATTATCATTATCATTCCTATTATTATTATTATTATTATAATGACTATTATTATCATTCATATTATTATTATTAACATCATTACCATTGTCATTCCTATCATTATTATTATAATTGCTATTATTATCATTCCTATTATTATCATAATCATTATCATTCCTATTATTATTATTATTATCATTATCGTTCCTATTATCATAATCAATATCATTCCTATTATTATAATTATAATTACTATCATTATCATTCCTATTATTATTAACATCATTATCATTATTACTCCTACAGGTGAAGCCGAGTTCTGGACCTATTTCTCAGGCATCATCCTGGTTCTTGTGGTGATCAACTTGTTCTTCTTCATCCACGTGGCCATCACACTCGCCAGGAAGCTGAAGCAGAGACAGACGCTCTTTGACAGCAATGAAAGTCGGTCCAGCAACGCTAACAAGAAGAACAAAGAACAGTGAGTTTTGTGTGTGTGTGTGTGTTTTGTGTGTGTGTTTTGTGCGTGTGTGTGTGTGTGTGTGAGTGTACACAACGCTAAAAAGAAAAACAAAGAACAGTGAATTTTGTGTGTGTATGTATGTATGAATATATATACATGTACATATATGTGTGTGTAAATATATACACACATCCAATCTACCAACATCCATTTTCATTTAATAATTTTTGTCCTTGAAGAGTCTGGTTGTTTGTGCGCCTCTTCATTGTGATGGGCGTGGTGTGGGTGGCCGAGATAGTGTCTGCACTGCACAGAGGATCTTGTAGTTATTGGTAAGTGACTGAGGACTTATGTAAATTTTGGCCTCATTTATATTGGTAAGTGACTGATGACATGTGTTGGCAAATTTTGGCCTCATTTAAGCAACATGTAACACTGGGATAACCATCACGGTAGAGGAAATAAAATAAATAATATACAATAAATAAAAGATGATAATAGATAAATTGATAGATGAATAATTAATAATGATAATTATCTACCAGTGGAAGGAACACTTAACCATGTCTGTTGTCATAAGAGTTAAAGGGATTCGTTGCCCATTATAAGAGAATTGAAGTGGTTATGATAATTATTTTTGGGGGGGTTTTATTTTTCGTATCCAGCCCACTGCCGTTAAGCTCTCTATGGCTCCCATTTTATCATTATTATTATTATTTAATGCTATTATCTGGTAATACAACAATTTTCTGTATGAGAACTATGAACCCATACAGACTTATTAAGATAGGGGTGAGGATAACCTGTTACCGCATCCTTTTGAGATGTAATATTTTGTGTCAGTAAACATATCAAAGTCAAAAAAAGAAAGACCTCCAGCATTTAAGGTACCCCGAGCCACCAGAGAGAGGACCAAGGGTGTACCATCGGAAGTACCAAACGGGACCTTGTAGAACTACCCTTAGAGCATCTCTGGGAGGGCTAAGAGGGCATGGAGAGAAGGGTTGATGGAGGGGGAGGGGGAGGGCCAAGTGGCACCACTGGAAGGGCTGACGGGACACGTGGGTAAAGGGTGAGAGGGTGCCATTGGAGGGTGAGAGGAGGCTTTGGTAGAGGGTTCTGGCGTGCTTCTAAGGAAAGCCAAATGGGGCGCCACTGTAGGAGCTAACTGAAGGGGTATCATTGGAAGAGCAATAATGATGATACTGCTGCTACTACTACTAATAATAATGTTACTATTATTATCATCGTTTTTATTATTATTATACGTTATTACTATTACTATTACTGTTTTGTTTTCTTCATATTATTACTCTTATTCTTAATTTTTTCTTTATCATAAATAGCATTACCATCACCATCACTATTATCAACATTATCACCATAATCACATCACCATCATCATTATCAAATTACTGTTATATAATTAACACCTTTTTTTACTATCATTACCTTTATCAATTCATTCTACCGCGCCATACTTTTTTCCACAACCTCATTACCCCCATAATATTTTTCTTGTGAACTTTTAACCGTGTTCTATAATTAATAACTCATATTTTTTTTCCAGGGTTCTCACTGATATACTGAACAGTCTCCAAGGTGTGTTCATCTTTGCGGTGGCCGTCTGTAATAAGGACAATATTAAAAAGGTTTGTAAGGAAGCCCATCATATGGTTGTGTTTAGATACTACCGTATTGGAGGGCGTATTAGATGTAGTTTTTTTTTATTGCTGTTATTAAAGAAAAAAAAAGAAAGAAAGAAAGAAAGAGAGAGATCGTGTTAAAGAAAAAAAAAAAAAATCTGTGGGGGACGTATGTGTGTGTGTGTGTGTGTGTGTGTGTGTGTGTGTGTGTGTGTGTGTGTGTGTGTGTGTGTGTGTGTGTGTGAATATGCCATGCTGAATCAGAGGTGCATCTAATATACTCATTGTCTTATATGCCATAGAATACTAAGTAAATACGTGTGCCAGTGAGTGATGGTGATGTCCCACGCAACAATATAAAACAGCAACGATATAAAAAAAAAAAAAAAATATTGTCTGTATTTCCCCAATTGATAGTAAAAGAAACGGTATCCATAGATCCAGTCATTTATTGTCATACATATAAAACACAGGACATATAATCAGGATACGTAAAATTATCATCATTTTAATTTATCGCTGATTAATCATTATTATTTTAATCTCTAATCTATATAAGAAGAGTAGTGTTCTAATACAAGTTTCTCTCACCCACACGAACCACCCCAACAGATCAAGCATTCTTGGAAATCCCGCTACACTACGGTAAGGAGCAAAGTAGGCACCCTCAGGGGCACCCGGCCCTCCGAGACGACAAACCGAGCCAAGCGCTTCACGGACCTCAGTGTCGCCGCTTCCGAAGCCTCCAGGAAGACCTCGGTCACCTCTC